TTCCATGTGCTCTTTCTCTGATTGCTTGTTATTGGTATATAGAAAGACTACAGACTTTTGTACGTTAATTTTGTAACCTGCCACTTTACTGAACATGTTAATAATTTCCAGTTTTCTGGTGGAATTTTGGTGTCTCTTAGATATAATATCATATAATCTTCAAAAAGGGATAATTTGATCTCTTCTTTTCCAATTATTACTCCTTTAATTTCCTTCTCTTGTCTTATTGCTCTTGCAAGAGTTTCAAGTACTATGTTAAAGAGAAGTGGGGATAGCGGGCAGCCTTGTCTGGTTCCTGATTTCAATGGGAATGCTTCCAGTTTTTCTCCATTGAGAATGATGTTGGCTGTGGGTTTGTTTTATACGGCTTTAATTATGTTGATGTTTGTTCCCTCCAGTCCTGTTCTCTCTAGGACTTTGAACATAAATGCATCTTGAATTTTGTCAAAGCCTTTCTCTGCATCTTGAGATGACCATATGGTTCTTGTCTTTGAGCCCATTTATATGATTTATGACATTTATTGACTTAGGTATATTGAACCATCCTTGCATCTCTGGGATAAAGCCGACTTGATCATGGTGGATGATCTTTTTGATGTATGTCAGTATGTAGTTTGTGTGTACCTTGTTGAGAATTTTTGCACCTATGTTTATTAAGGATATGGGTCTATAGTTTTCTTTTTGGTTGTATCTTTACCTGGCTTTAGTATTAGAGTGATGCTGACTTCATAGAAGGAATTTGGAAGTTCTCCCTTCATTTCTATCTTTTTGAATAACTTAGGTAGTATTCGATGTAGATCTTCTTTAATGTCTGATAGAATTCTGCTGTAAATCCATCTGGGCCCTGGGCTTTTTTGAGTCCGGATGTTTTGTATTACTGTTTCAATTTCTTTTTGTGTTGTGGGTCTGTTTAAGCTGTTAATCTCTTCTTGATTTAGTTTTGGTGGTTCCCATGCCTTTAGATATCCATCTATTTCTTTTAGATTTTCAAATTTAGTAGCATATAGGTTTTTAATGTATTCCATTAAAAATG